ACATCACGTTCTCATCAGACGCAGATGGCGAAGATGCCCTTGCAATGCGATTGGTGTTAAAAGGAAAGGATCCGCAGTAGAGCCGAGCCTTGTCTTGGTGAAAAACGTTGATGATTCATGATGGTAGAGCAATATTTAGTTGATGTCCCGGCCTCGCCCATAAAAGGAAGCTCCAATCGCATCTTGAGACCGTGGTATGGCTCAGCAGTAAAAGGATGAGATGTCAGACAAAATGGATGACCAGCGAATCGAACGCTGGACCTCTCGCAAGCAACTTAATGCGAAGCGAGCGCTCTACCCCTGAGCTAGACACCCTGATGGGATTAGCGGAATAATTTTGTATTCTCGACCCTAAACTCCTCTCGGCCCTTGGCTTTTCTGAAACGTAGAATGCTCCACCGGTGTGTTTCGTATAGGGTTTCAATACAGTAGCATGAGAATTTTCGCCACTTGAATCCGATCGAAGTGTCATCGTCACGCGGTGTGACAGCATACGGCATGCACTTCTTCACCACCACCCGCCGACGACCTCTCATCGATCGCTTCTCATGGCGTTGAACTGGACTATGCTAGAGCGTGGAACTCCTGTTCCCCTCCCGGATGAGCGTATGATATCTACGGAACCAAAAGTTGAAATTGTGGTGAAGATACCTGATGCACCACCACAGGGGGGAGCGACTGCAGGAGGTTCCGGAGGCGCCGGAAGGACGTTACGGGCCTTGGGAACAGCTTGGTTGAGTGACCAGAGAGTATACCTATTCATCATCCCTTGTCATGACAAACATGGCTGAGTCGATCTCGATGGCAGTTCATCTTCGTCGCCAGTCCCGATAATCCGCCACCAACAAGTATACAGTCTCTCAGTCTTCCATACCACCTCGTGCTCTCCACCAAGTTCGAACAGCCTTTCTTCTCTGCCAACTACCTGAACATGGCGATATACCCTACGCCGGACGGTGGGCTGACTGCGGGAACTATGGTTGAACTAAGGTTTCCGGACAGGGGCATGTTCTCGTGGGTGGAACTATTGACACGCACAAGAGAGCAAGCTTTGATCAAGAGGAGAGACGAGCAACTGGGCGACCCGCTTCGTGAGTGGCTTCAGTGTTGGACACTTCCATGAACGCTAATGCTTGGATCGGGTGCTATGATAGCCCTCTACGTACCCCCACCTCCATCGGAGACTTCACGGACCGAAGACGCTGGGGTTGAGAGGCCACCGGCCTACGATGGTTGAAAGAAGGGCAGACGTTGGTCGAGACGCTTTGAAATGGGCCTTGTGCTGACCTCCTTAATCATATGAGCGTCAAAGTGCATGACCTAGATGGTAGGCCGTTGTGCGGCCTGTCGGAGACAGAGCGTGGACCTTTTTCTCGGCATGTATGGAATCCGGAGGACTGGCTTTACCGCGATTGGAAGCTGAGGGAGGCGTCAGCTCCCTCCGGTATTCAGTGCCGGGCTGACTGGTGGCGTCGAAAAGCTCTACGTTTGCCGACAGACACGTCCAATTAACTTCACGCCGAGATGGTCGTCATCAGCACGGGTGATTCCGAAAGAGCTTGCCGGGAAGGTTGACCAGGAACGAGATTAAGATGGCCATATTGTGAAATGTCGTCTTGAACGCGAGATTCGACGCACAAGAAGGTGTGTTTTTGGCGTCCAACAATGAAGGACAGATAGATTCTTGGGTAAGGAATCTGCCGCGAGTGTGCATATCCAGGGCTCATGACGAGAGATTGAGGGAGCAAAGTTAGTGGATCGAAGCTAACGATGCGCTAGTTACAGACACGTTGGCCTGCTAAAGTCCCTCAATTAACCCGTAAGCGATCAACGCATGAAAACGCAGAAAAGCTGCCCGGTCGGAGAGGTATGAAAAGCTGCGAGATGACGTACTGATAGGCGAGCGGTCAGGGTGTCGATGAGCTGCCGGAGGACGGGCATCGCGCACGACTTGAATCGGAGTTTGAACGGACGACATAGCGGATCAGAGTTTGAACTAGTACAGAAGAGTAGGCGGAAGTATGGACCATTGAGGAGTACAGGGGTCGTTTGCTGGGTCAATCTGGAGGTAGATCTCAGGAGGGTTATGGAATGTTGTGGCCTGTATTGGTCTAGGCAGGAATCCACTACGTCGGACAATCTCGATGAGGTCGGGAGGGGAAAAGATGGCACATCTCGTTGGATGGCGACAATCCGTTGTATGGGGTGAGCGGGATGATGGCAGGTGAAACTCGTGCGGAGTCGTGACTGTCGATTGAAATCCCGCGAAAAATCTAGTCCAGGACGAGTTGGGACCCTTTCCACCACAACCGTCCTTCCCCTCCCCGCTCCCCCTTCGACGGCAAAACGCCTCCCGTTGCTCCCTTCCAAACCACAGCCAGGACAGCTTTGACGTTTCCTTTTTCTTCTTCACGCCAGCTCACGTGTTTTACGGGTCCTTGCCTCTTCCCCAGACCCGGTTGTCCAAAACGACCCACAACACAGGTGAGTCGGAAGCACGGCTCTTCCCTAGGCCGCGCATAACCTCAACTCACCTTCCATGGCCCTCTCTTCCTCTCCAAACTCAGCTCGATTCTCGGAACACCCTCAGACGGCCTCCAAACCAGTCGAGACTGAACCAGATCCTCACTCCAGCTATCGCGTCTCGCTCGTTTCCCGCTCCCGTCGTATATCCCCGCTTTCGTCTACAGCACCCATTGCACCCCGTTCTCAACGCTGAAAAGCTTTCCTTGCCGTGTATAAAAGTGGACTGCTAAGGAGGACCCTGGCCTACGAAAAAGGTTCCATCAAATCACCCACTAGCGGGATCGTATCGACTGCCGCGCCCCCCTCTCAGACGTATCCTTTATTATTCCTCCATTCCCCTCTAGAATTGTTCGTTGCTCGTTCCAGTCGCTCTGCTCTCCGCAATTCAGGACTCTAAGTTTACCCTCACTAAGGTATGTATCCTTTGACGTATTCATCAAGAAAGATCTCCCCTTTCGTCCACTAACGCCGAGTTTTCCTTCGTCTTTTTGGCCATTCACTCCTGCGGTGCTTTGCGCGTCCCGCTTTGTCCTTGCAACCTCTCCAGTTCGTCGATTAGATCCTCATCATTCCCGAAATGCATAGCCGCTGACCTTTGCCACTCTAATTACGCATTAGTTTTCTCCCGTAAAATCTTATGTCCTCTGCTCCAACCACTCCTCCTTTCCCTCCCGGTCTTCCTCCTGGGCCTCATAATCATCTCGATTCCGCGATAGGCCCCTCGTCACACGATTACGTACCGAGAACGGTCCCCTGGCCTGCAACCGACTCGGCTCAGCAAATCAGTTACGCTGCGGCCATGCTACCCCCTCAGTTCAATGGCTACGGCAACGGGCATGTGAGTGATCATCCTGCTTCCGCTCCCGACATCAGCCCGTACTCATTCCCTCCACTCTTTACCAGTCGTACGACATGAACAATCTCGTCCAGCCGCCGCCACCCCAGACACATCAGCGAGGACAATCCAACGGATATGGGATCCACCCTCCTCTGCCTCCTGGAGACTATCATACCAACTACTTTCTTCCTCAGTTGCCGCTTTCTTCTCCTGGTCCAGGTGCACCTGCTCTCAATGGTTACGCAGACCCCAACGCATACCAACCGTATCACCAGAACACACACCCCACTCCAAGCATCACAGATCACATTCTAGCTCCGCACCTCGCTGTTTCAATTTCAACGCAGGCACAACCGACTCGGTCCACCCTCTATCTGTCTGACCTCGAACCATGGATGGACGTCGAGTACTTCAACCAAGTATGCGG